GAATTTTTCAAATGGACATATGACTGCCTTTAGCAAAAGTGGGGTCCTGTTAGTAAGATGTAAGGGCAAGTGGATAGCAGGGTCACACACAGCCCTACCTGATTGTTGAAGGACTAGGAGCAAGGCATAAACTATTAATTCAGTACTTGGCATATGCTAGAAGTGGGGTGAAAATGAAGAAGAAAGGATAATTTGGGGTGAAAATGGATGATGTGAGGTTCATGATGTGCAGGTCTGGTATCTGGAGCAATTTATAAAACTTTTCAGGGGAAAGATTGCCACGAGGTGTTGAGGTTTGGAGCTTATCCATCTGATAAATGGGTGAGGCCACAGCTTTAACTGCTGTCGCTGCAAAAACATGGACGTGGTTTCTCTCATTGGTCTCTCCAACATACACTACAAGAAGCTGGTTTCAGGCTGCAATTTGTAAAATAGAGTGGGGTCATTGTGCACCCACACAGCACTAGCTACACCAGACTTGCCATTGAACTTCGGTCCATGATGAGAGAGAAACTCCAGTATCTCCATCCAGGTCAGCCTGCAGTTGAGTCAGCAGTCATGTGTCTCTGTCTCAAAGCCAGAGGATTCAGAGACGCCAGTGGTGTGAACCTCTCAACTTCCTGAGGTCCTTTCTTCTCTTTTGACCATGTCAGCCCTGTCAGATTCTCCACCAGAGACCCTCTTACTCTAAAACATGCTCAATTTCTTAATTTCTCTTTAAGGCATTTTTTTAGGTAGCTTTTTTATATATTAGCTAATGCCTTATACATAACCTCCAGCTTTTTGCACGCCTATCCAGAGGAGCTATAGAAAATGGGGAAGCCATTTCATACTGTGTGATCCCAAGTTCTTGTCAGTAAGGATTATAACCAGCAGGCTGTTCTGGACAGTTTGTCTCCTTGGTCTGTGTGGGGTTTTTGGTCACTCATGTCAACACCTCATTCTCTTACCTGCCCCAGCATCTCTTCATAAACTACAATAGCAGTTTGCTAGTTTTTTCCTAAAAGCTTATTGCAAGTTTCTGTTTATAAATTATTTTGTGTACTGAATTTCCTGAAATAGTGTCACATGCAGGTGCTCAAGAAAAATTGCTGAATGCACAAATCAATGAAAGGAAACTAAGATGAGAATATCAGAATAATTCACAAGTTATCAAGTATGTTCATGTAAGGTTGTGTTCCTTGGGTATAAGTAGAAATTATAAATATTACAATACTGTTTATAAGTGGAAGCAACAGCGTTTATAATCTAGAAATGATTCATATTCAACTGATAGAAATTTTGGTGACCATTCCTCTTCAAAACATGTTGAGGCTTCAGAGATAACTAGGCCCCTAAAAGATTCAGGATTTTTCTATGAGGTGACTATTGCTGCAGACATTTAAGATGTTGAATGAATTCCCAACTTCAGTGTCCTTTATGCAAACGCTGGGAAACTTGAGACTTAATAAAAAGGCAAATGTTTAATCATTGACTTCAGCTCCGTGGGGAATTACATAAACTTATCTAGATAGATGCATGTCAAGTTCAAGGCCTTTTATGTCATAAGAATCTAGATGTCTTTTTTCACTGCATGCAAACACGGAGATTTGAAAAAACGAACAATTCAGAATATTAGCATTGGCTCGATTGATTAATGAGGGCTGGGCATTAAGTTATTCCTTTTGCAAACATTGATGTCCATTATTCTGTTACATCAGGTAAATACATGTATATAAATGTATATACTTATACATGCATACTGCACACATACATGCATATATAATATTAACAACATGGAATGGTGCCATTTAAAGTTTTGACTAATGCACCATTTCAAAGAAGAAAACCTAATTTTTCTATGTAATTGAAACTTGAATTATCTGTAGCACTAAACAGAATTCTTTTTAGTATGACTGTTGTGTGGAAGAGATTAGACAGTAGGAATGGAAGTATATTGATAAGGAGTAAAACAATGCAGAGCCGGCTCTGGTGGGTGGTGACTTGGACTGATAGTGCTTGAGAGTGCTTGTTGGTAAATTGGATGCAGAAATAAGAGATAAGAATTCTGGGACTAATTCTAGATCCTTAGTTTGAAAACTCAAGTGACTAGTGATATCATTTACTCAGGAAAGCGTGAGCGTGGAGGAGGAAGCTTCGGAAACTGAAGTAGTTATAATATCAGTTTGGACACGTTACATTTCACTTTCTGTTTTATCTATGTGGTGATGAGTAAATAATTCTATATATAAGTTTGCTGGGCCAAGGAGAATTTATTTAAATTTGGCAATAACCAAAAATATGGATGGCATTTGACTATATAAGTTGCCAATGCCAGTGTTTCTATAAAGAAGTGGGTGCACAGAAGAGGTTTGGGGAAGTTCCAGTGAAGGTTTATGAAGAAGAGGCAGAACCAGCCAAGGTGAATGAAAAATAACAGACAGACAGTGAGGTCGCCTAAAACAAAAACAGGAAATAGGTGGGATTTTTAAAAACAAAAGATTGTATTTTGAGAAGCAAGTAGTCAATTGAGGTAAACTTGTTATTTTTTAATAGAAAACTTGCTTTAATTCGCATGAAGCTGTGTATCGGGAGAGGTACCTCATTCTAAGGGCAGACATTGTTAAGCTCAGGGGATATGATATGTAGCATGAGAGAAAAAAGTTTGATTTTGATATTAATGACACTGTGATAAAAGGATAAGAGGAAGGGGTGCCGGAAAGTGCCAATGAGGTGTTCCCTCTTCTGTCCCATGTAGATCCAGCAGCAAAACCCTGAAAATGAGAACGAGCACACTGTACACTGGCCTGGCCATTTTCCACCATTTTATTTTCTTTTGCCTTCAAATATCTCAACTTTTTGTGGAACGTGTGATCAGATTTATTCACAGTCTTCCATCAACCACCCCGTGTGGTATGATCATACCGTTGACTGAGGGCTTCAGTCCCTTCCCACCACCACTCCTGGCATGATGGTTAGTGACGATTCACCCACACCCTTGACCCAGCAAACACATCGGCCTCTCACTTTCTTAGTCTTCTTGATTCACGTGATCTCCTCCCCTACCCCAATTGAGTCGTAAATTCTTCTAGCACAGCCTTGGCTTGTCAGCTCTCCTGTTTACACCACTGTTGAAAATCTATTGCTAGCACCTCACTCTGTTCACCGTCTCCCACTCCAGCAATTCTATGTCCTATTGGTGCTACCAGAATACTCTCAATATCAACCTGACTTTTATTATTTCTTCAGTTCTCTTACCAATGCGTGCACACAGGCCTTTGGTATTTTCAGTCCAGTACACAAGTTCCCATCCCCCGTGCCTCCCTCCTCTCTTCTTCTGTGGTTCACGAGGTTTGAATTGAACCCTCGACTTCTTGTGCATCTTCCAACACATGGATGAGAACGGAGACAGACACACGCTCAAGATGGCTGGCCTCCTGTGAAATTCATTGACAACAAACTTTAAGGGGGTAATCCTAGAGCTCAACTGTCCCATTTTGCTTTCCCTAGTCTATGTGTGTACTTAGATATCTGTCCAGTCCAAAGACATCTCTGTCTTCCAAACCTCCTTCTCGTCTCTCGGCTGGTAACTTTTTCTCATAGGCCATTGAGAAAATAGAAGCCACCAAAAAATAACTCCCTCATAGTCTCAACACGAAAACACCTATTTTTGCATAAAGACAATATGGCTTGTTTATGGTTAACTTTCCTTTCCAACAATGTCTGATGTCACTTTCCTTTTTGTGTTTCTTGCATTGTGTCATACAGCAGACTGGAAGCAGATGATTCTATTCAACGATACTAGTTACAGAACTACTCTGTGAACTCAAAAGAGTTGCTTAACCTAAATTGGGTGTGTTTGTCTATTGTTTATTGAGTTGTTTTTAAATGAGACTCTGTTTTTCACCCAACTGGAAAGACTGTGAGGGGCATCTGAAGATTAACTAGGGGAGAGTGAATTTTGTGTATGGAACAAATAATGGCTGGAATTAGAATAAAAGTAGAGTGGTAATATTGTGAAAATTGCTTGCAATTTCATAGTATCAGGAGGATAACAGGTTGCTCAGTGATGTCAAATAATATTCAGGCAGAGATGATGCCATTGGACTGGGCAACTATACCATTTTAATTTATTTTTTTAAATTTTAGCTGTTAATGGGTATTTTTATAAGCATAATTGACTACCTTTTCTCTGTGGTGGTTTGGATGTGGGGTTTGCTACAGTCTTAAGTTCTTAGACCAAAGTCACATGTTCTGAGTTGCTTTCAAGCACATATTCTGTAAGAACACATTTCATTTGCATGATGCTCCAACTTCTAAAAATGCTAGATTATTCTCATAAAACAAGAAAGTGTTTACATGGAAAAGACTATGACTAATATTAATGCAGAATTCTTTATGGTATAAAGGAATTTGGCTATTTCTTAGTGACATAAGAGAAAATTTGTAAAAAAAAAAAAAGAGTGGTGATATTTTGTGAAAAGTTTTTTAGACACCAAAATATTCGTGTATGTGAGGGGTTCTTCTTGTAAACACATGTATAGAACCCTGCTCAAGGTCCCTGAGCGTGAGAGAGAAAGAGCCTTCGAAGGGGATAAGATCAGGTTGGGATTTTCAAACAAAGATTTAACTAAGTGTGTGTGAGTGGAAAGATGTCTACGAATGTATCATTTTGGAGGGACTTATGACCATCACCGGGGCTACAGAATCTCTTGTCAGTGGTTTTTAGGAGTCAATAATGAGTTGGAAGTTTATAAGGGCATATTTAAAACCAAAGTGCGGATAGTTTTACTGTGATGTTTATTGGGACTATCTGACAGAAAAACAAGGAGATTACTCAGAAGCAGGTGATGGACCCACTATAAGATTAAGATTTAAAGGAAAATGTGTATTTATGTGACTGATATGGCAGATTATAGAGTCAGCAGGATTGAATGATTGGCTATGCAATTAATGAAATAAATTTACAAGTTACAATCAAACATAAATGTTGAAGGTTTTTTTTTTTAATATTCAATTAGGTATTCAATTGACAGAAACACTGACTTGGAGAGATATTTCAACATTGATGCCAACAGTGGAGTTATTACAACCGCCAAATCTTTGGATCGGGAGACAAATGCTGTTCATAACATCACAGTTCTCGCAATGGAGAGCCGTAAGTTATGAGGCTTAAACTCAGTTAGGAAGGGGAACATCGAGAGTGGAGAATGGTTGTGATGAGGTTATCATTTCAACTTGAATGATGTTATTTTCTGCATTGAACAAAGTAATCGAAATGCCTTCATTTCAAGCTGTGACATACACTATATTCACTAACTTCATTAATATAAAATTAATTAAAATAGATGACTAAAATAATGGGCCTGGATTACCCTAGGAGAGCTGCAGCTTTGTGGTCATAGTCTATATAATGAAGCTTATGCTGGTTTGCAAATGATTTATAAAAGTTAGTCAATTAAGCTCTCAAATCTTCAGTGTTATGCTTCCAGATTTTATTTACACTTTGGTCATTTTTTCATTAGAATTGTTTTGATAGGTAAGCAATTTGGGTGATTCTAATTGTTCTTAACCCTGCTTCAAATGTCCATGTAGTAACAGCTTTTGTGTCAGAGTAAATGATGAGATATCTCGCTCTCCATTAGAGAATCCATCTCAAGTGGGACGAGGCTATGTGGCCATTACGATACTTGACATCAATGACAACGCCCCCGAATTCGCCATGGACTATGAAACCACCGTCTGTGAGAACACTCAGCCGGGGCAGGTAGGACACTGCAGAGCGCTGTGCTCTCTGTATGTGATCCCTTTAAAAATACCGGCCAGTCAACTGCCTTTGAAATTCTGCCAGCTTTAAGATAAAATATAATCAGCCTGTTTCAGCAAACTAACACTTTGATGTGTAGTATAAACTAATATTAAAGGGATGTTGAGATTCGGGTTTAATTGGGATGATGAAGATTCGTCAGGAAGAAAAAAAGGTAAACATGTGAAAGGCCCACTAAGGGCTTCGACCCCTTTAAGGAGAAATTCAGCATATTAAGATTGACTGGCTGCCTCCCCCAGTACCCAGCAGGACTTACGCACCTTGAAGTTCTAAGAATCAAGTGTAGTTGAATCTCTGTGTGGTTTGTTCTATTCATCCATATTGTTCAGTGTCTTGTGATGTTTCTGGGATGGTTTAATCAGTTGGTGCAGCTTACTGCTGAGGTTCCCAAAAGTAAATTCACACATGCATTTTGAAAAGGACATGATTTGCTTTTCTGAGCCCTTTTTAGATTGGGTTCCTATTCGTACATCTGATCCCTCCCCTCAGCACATTCTAGAGACGGGATTTATTATAAGGTGTAAAATTGCTCCATCCTGTCTCAGAAAACACAGCAGTACCTACCGACCTGCTCTCACGCTTTGCTTACTGTCCCCAGGTTATCCAGAAAATCAGTGCGGTTGACAAAGACGAGCCATCCAGTGGACACCAGTTTTATTTCAGCTTAACGACGGATGCAACAAATAACCACAACTTTTCATTGAAAGACAACAAAGGTAAGATGTTGTTATTGTCCCTGGTGCGGCAGCAGGAACAAACTCCCTAAGCAAGTTCTTTGTCTCACTCAGGAATGCTGATTATGGATTTTTTTTCCTATACCAGCAAGGACATTAATTAAAGGGCAATGAGCCCCTCAAGTAATTTTTATGTATGGATTTACTGTCACAAAGAAGCAGCTGCTACTTAAATCATTTTAGGCCTAACGCCAAATGGGAAGTCCGGTCCATCCCTCTGTCCTTCTTTCTAGACACTTGCCTTCTTAATTTGTATCCTGAGCTGTTGATCCAGGTCCTCTATTGGGTTGAGAGTAGCTGAATGCCTTGGCAAGGGCTACTACACAGGTATAACTTGAGGCATTTGGAAAATAATTGGTTTTTACACATCCAGTATTAATCATCTTTGACTTAAAAGCATAACTGATGGTAGTATTAAAATATTATTTTTCGCTTATATAAAAGCCATGAAATAATAAAAATATATTCTTGATGCACAGAAACAAAGTAAACAGTAACAAATGGATTCGCTGTTATTCCAAAGGCCCTTTTCTCTGCTTCAGTGGTTTCCTAAAGGTCATTGTGAGAGCATTTTTACAAAAACCTGTAAGTATATTCGGGTTTCACTTAAACACACATACACAATTACAAGAACATTTAAAGGAAATCTGAGACCCTATCTATTATCTAGTTTTACATTGGTATTTCCATATAGGTTTATATTCAATGTATTTGTTTAGCAGAAGGAGACCTTTTGTAATTGACATAAAGAGTCCTGACCAAATAGAATGGGTAGATTAGGTTTCAGAAAAGCAATGCCGGAAGATTTGCTAGTCAAATACTAGCTTATCTAAGAAGGTGTACTCTCGGTCGAGGGGCATTGGAAATGCTTTTGCCTGAAGCCACCACCTTCTTTCAATGTACAATCCAACTTTGGCCTCAAAATGTCACTTTGAAAATTATCGTTTCTCCTGATTCCTTTCTTTGCTTAATAAGAATGTTCTCTTGACTCTTTAGTTATATCAAAGGAAGAACATTTACTGTGTGGGTAATCACAGGCTGTCTTAGTGATAGTTGGAAAAGCTAATCCTCAGGAGTTGAATTCACTCTAGAGAGGGAATGTATGACTGACCACCCACCCACCCACCCCAAGTGGTCATCACCCAATACCAGTCTTTGGTTAGGAGACAGATGTAGACGTGTGTGTGTTATTGTTAAGTGTGCAGGACCATTCTGAAGACCATAGCTGTCAGCAATTCTGTTTGTAACAGGTGGATTCTGAAAACTGAACTGCTTTATTCCTGCCTCATCTCTAATTTCAGGACTGCTAATTTTGAGCAGTCCTTGTGAGCTTGCTGTTTGAGACAGAATGCTAGATTCCTGCTTGCTCTTTCATTGGAGTGTTGTTAATTATTTTGTGACAATATTAAGTGACCATCTTTTTGACAGCTTGTGAAGAAATATATTCTCTAGCTCATAAAGATGAGTTAGTTGGATACAAAGTTTATTGCTGATATAGAAATCAGTTATGATACAGAGTTACTGATTAGTTTTGTAACATCATTCTGATAAAATAGAATATTGAATATAAATTAAGAAACATATAAGCAACAAAACCTTTGTTAGCAAAAAAAAAAAAACTTTCTATGATTCAGGTTTTAGGAAAAATATGTATCAATATATATTTTAAAATCGACCATAATTGCTCTTTTCAGTATCTCTGCATACTAAATTTAGACAACACTGAAGTAGCTTATTTTACTTGTTTCTCTATTGGCCTTGGAACTTGTCATAAAAGGATGGATCGGAAATCTCATCTGTGCTGCAGATAGCACACAAATATTTATTTTTCTATGTATAATAAAAGGATGTACTATTTGGCAGTTAACATAAGCGATGCATAAGTAGTTTTATATCTTTAGTTTTAACTATAATGACAGATATTAACATGCATTTAAATGAACTAATATTTGGAAATATGACTTGTCAAAAGAAAACAAATAGCATGGCTGGAATCAACTAAAGCTTGGCCAGATGGAGTCCATCAGAAATTGTGTTATATATGCTTGCTTTATTAAGATTTTTAATTTATTACAGTAACATTGGTTTGCAACAATGTATATAATTTCAATATCTAGGATTGCACCTCTTCAGATGTATGTTGCCATACAACACCCACCACCAAGGCACCCACAGTCCTCCACCTAACTCTATTTTGGCCCCTTTTTCTATGTACTGTTCCCTCCCCATAGGTAGCTTCAGTTTTGTCAGATTTCCAGGGTTTGCATTTAGTTTGGTTTTATCTGACTGTTTTGTTTCTCTCTATTCCATAATGAGTGGAACCATGCCACCCAAAATTTCTATTTCTGCCTCATTTCACTTGGCACCATCCCCTCCAGTTCCACCCATGTTGCTGCAGATGGCAGGAGCCATCTTTTTGACAGCTGAGTAGTATTCCATTGTGTGGCTATTCCACATCTTAATCCACTCATCTGTCCTTGGCACTTATGTTGCTTCCCTAATGTGGCTGTTTCTTTTTCTCAGACAACACAGCCTCCATTCTCACCAGGAGAAATGGCTTCCGGAGACAGGAGCAGTCTGTTTACTACCTTCCAATCTTCATCGTGGACAGTGGTTCACCTTCCCTCAGCAGCACCAATACCCTCACCATCCGTGTCTGTGATTGTGATGCAGACGGGATAGCCCAGACCTGCAACGCGGAGGCCTACGTGTTACCGGCGGGTCTCAGTACTGGCGCCCTCATCGCTATCTTGGCCTGTGTCCTGACGCTGCTGGGTAGGTGCCTTTCCAGTGTTTGTGCTGTAAGAGCAGACACGCCCAGGTCTCACCACTTTCCTCTTTCGACTCCTTTATAGTGTCTTTTTGAGAGCACACTCCACTGTTCCATGAGCTGGTGTTTTTCTCGCTGAGCAATCCATGATCATGAACCACACTTTCTAGGGGTGGATAAGATATAACCAGGAAAAGATGGTTAACTTCATTTCAAAAACAACAGTGAAGATAAATGGCTTCTGTTTAAAACTGGAATTTTTCAAGATTAAAGAAAAAAAAAAAGCCCTGTTTACTGTAGGATCCAGTGCAGATAGGTATTAAGAATAGACTTTTCTGTTTTTGATAATATGCTTATGTTGGAAATTAGGGTTTTATAACCTACCTCTTTTCAGAGAAGATTTAAAATGGATTTTGTAATTATTAGCAAATGTAAAGAGAATGCCATTTCAGCAATGAAAAAGTTATTTCCCCAGAAGAATTAACATATTTAATTGTACTTTTTCATGGTTACTTTGTTATTTGGTTAAATTGGATTTATGATTCATATTTAGTTGCAGTTGTGGAAGAGATTCTGCAGCATTCTTTCAAACGTTGGGAGACGTGGGTGTTGGGGCATGGGCTTGCTCCTTAGCTGAGTTCCTCTCTACACAGCGATTTCCTTCAAGGACAATAAGCATTTTAATAATGCAGTCAAGACTGTACTGTGTGTTTCCTTATGGTTCAATATAATTTGTCAATTTATTTTTGGAAAATTAGAGTCTAGCAATGTGGTGTTCATCATGTCATGTTTAAAAACAAGATTTGTGGATTTAGGTAAGCCCTTTTTTTTTTTCCTTTCATTTAGTTCTAAAACTGCCTGGTTAATCTGGAAGGGAAAATAATGGAACTAGATCCATAAGATTGTTATGAAATTAAATAAGATAATTCATGTGCCTACCAAGCCAAAACTCAGTCATTAGTACACTGTAAATAATCTCGAAGAATGGGAGTTAGTACTTTCAGTAGCTTTGGCTAACCACCTAAATCTAGAAGAGAACACTTTTTTTTTTTACCATCTTTTACACATATGGCAAAACTTTCAGAAATTTCTGATAGAAAAGACAAGTCATTCTCAGTTAAAGCATGATTAGAATAGAATATAAGGGAGTAAATACTGAAAAAGAGGAACCCGTTACAGTCTTTCTTACTGTTCTGCAAGGTCTAAAAAATACAGGCTTAAATAGCATACTTATTTTATAATAGCTGAATAGCCTAGATATGTCCCATCATATTTAAAAGGACAATGTCTTTAGCTCAAAAAAAGAACAAAATTAAAGGCTAGGGTAGATGGGGTGGGGAGGGGCCCTTGTCTGTGATAAGCTGTCCAGGTTTAAAAATTTAGATTATGCTCTATTTGAAAGGAAGAAGATAAAATTGTATTCCCTGAAATTTAATCATTCCCAACAGATAACTTTAAAAAAACAAAAAACTGGCCACCTAATGAAGCCAGCTTGTTTTTAGAAAATACTTGCAGTTTAGGTTGGATGATCCTAGTTAAGACTCCTTACCTCACTGTTACTTTTTGTTCATAAAATATGTGTGTATCTCTCACTCAGGATGGGGTTTTAGGGATTCTGTCAAAATCCCTAAGTACAATGACTGTTAAAAAACAAAAACAAAAGACAGGGCCTCCCCTGGTGGCACAGTGGTTGAGCTCTGGCAGCCTCTGCAGCTCCGGTTCGTTCCCCTGCTGCCAGCGAGGGTACCACCAAAAAAAAAAAAAAAAAAAAAAATCACCACAAACATACAACAGCGTGTTATTGTGCTGAAAGGCAATTTGTGGCCAGGGTGTCTGCCCCCAGCTCGCTCCTCCCAGCAACCATCCGCTCCCCTGCCGGCGACTCACCTCCCGAGCAGATCTCTGTGTTCTTTCCTGGGCCTTTCGATGATCAGGCTTTGCCTACTCCTTGGACCGTCTCATGAACACAGGCTCTGAGTTTTCCTTCCCAGGTTAGGTGTCGAGACAGTGAGGCTGAATCCGCAGAGGTGGGGCAGACGAGAGTCTGACATGGAACTTGACTTCTTGTGCACAAATAGGTGTGAATCCTATTTCTAGATGCTAGATACAAGCTTGGTAACTCAAACCTTTCTGGGCTTCTAGACAAAAAGTGCCAGGAAAAAGGCAAGCTGCAGTGGTGGACATGGGAGAGAGAGGAAGGCAGATTAGCACCTGGGCTTTGGGCTCCCGACAGAGCCAGCTTCTCTGCATGCTGGGCTTGTGTTCCAGGGCACGCCAGCTCAGGCACCAGTCATGTGGCTGACCTTCCAAGAACATTAGGGTGGAGGACATCATGCTAACAGGTGCCCACCCAAATCTCTGCACTTTGCAGAGAGGAAAATAGGTGCATTGTGGTTCAAGGATTTTCAGGAGTTCGTGAAACCAGTGGCCACTTTGTGGTAAGATATTAGGTCTCCTTACTCCCAACCACTGCTTTCAATTCAGTACAAAGGAAATAGACTTTAAAGATACCCAACCTGTATTCAAATGTGGTTCTTCAGATTTGAATTCATGTTTCCTGAAGTTAGAAGACTAACTTGATGGGTGAATTCTTTACTGATTTCCCTTTCTTCTTCCAACCTTTCACTTTGTATAGCTCACTTATTTACACCTGAAGCCTCTAAATGAAAGATAGAATCCAAAAACTAGAATATGAGGCTTACTTTAGTCACTGCGCACAACTTGAATTGGGGACGTTATTGTCATACTTGTTAGACCCTTCAATTATTTTTCATATGGAAAAATTTCATCCTTACGTGGCAAGATCTTTAGTATTCCAGTGCTTGAATAAATATTTTGTACCAACTCCATCAATTTCACTACACATTTTCAATCAGGCTGAGAGCATTTTAAAAAACCAATTCTATGAATGATAATGCATTCTTACTTTGGTGGATGTGGAGATATAATCAGAGAATTTGAGTTTTGCTAAAATTTTGTTTCAGCAGAAAATATTACACACCTATTCAGAGAATGTTACAGCTAGATTTTCTGTTAGTCTACCCAGAGAAACTTCAGCCTACACCCAAAAACTGTCCCTGGATTCACTATAGTAAGTTTTTTTTTTTTCTTCCTGGGACTTTTAGGTCCAAGGCATTGAAATCCTAGAGTATTACCTCTGGCGTTAGGTATTTTTGCCCAGCTCCTGGCTGTGTAAGGCATTTGTGGACACCACTGTCCACTCCTGGCGGTCAGGCACTAACACGCGTATTTTCACTTTTTTCCGACACCTCCCAAGTGCGAATATAAATACCGTTACTTCCTTTCCTGTTACTGTGGCCACTCATGATTTGTCTCCACAGGAAAATGTTTTCTTAGATTTGTGGTAGTATTAAAATGCGGGCACCATGTAAAAAGGCTGATGCCCATTGTGAGTGTCACCACCAGCGCGTGTGTGACATCATAGGCCTCGAGATAGTGAGGCGTTCATGACAGTGGCTAATTGATGGTAGCAGATGTGTTCCCCTTCCAAACACGTGCGAGCATACTAAAAATGAATGACATTTAATGAGTTCGTACTAAGTGGTAACCATTAACGAAGTGCTTTACAAGCATGCTCTAATTTAACTCTCAGAACATATTTCCAAGGCAGGTATTATTAAATATTTTCAAGCACACTGTAATCTGAGAAAACCATAAATAAGAAGACAGACACAAGAAGTCAGAGCCAGGATGGCAAAACAGGCACCGCTGCATTCTGGATGGCACTGAGGAGGTGTGTTTCCCAGTAGGAAATATGGGTGCGTCTCTAGGCAATGCCTGTTTGGGTGTTGCAGCCTTGATACTAGAAAGTGCAGGCAACTGTCTTTGACCAGTTTCATTTATATATATATATATATATATATATATATATAAAATATAAAAACATATAAAGGTGTATTACTTCTGTGGCTAACAGTGTCTAAAGTATCTTCCAGTTATTTCCAACCTTGGTCAGACACACCTAGGCTTGTGATATTAAATTTGAGAGATGATACTTTAGTACAAGCCACATATGTATCAGTTGTCTTTGTGCACATATGCACTGCGTGTAAGTCAGTTTTTCTCTCTGGGTTACCTGAGACTCCAGTGGAATGATTCTGCCTCCATACTCTATGGAAAATCTGTGATTCTCATTTTTGGAAAAGGAAGATTGATTGTGGTTGTAACTAAGTCTCTGGTTCAGATCTGGAAAAGCAGAGCCATTGTTCGACTAACTTGCTGGCACTAGGAATCATATTCACCCTTGTCTCTGTCCTGTCTCCCACGCCAGTCAGTCCCCAAGGACTGTTGATTCTGCACTGTATTCCAGATTTCCCCTCAATGTCGTACCTGGTTTATTTCCTGGATCCATCTTTTTCTCTCGAATTACAGCAGTTGCCTATTGTTTCTATCAGTTCCAAACCACCAGTATCACAGACAGGAAGGTTTTTAAAAGCAAGTATGATTGTGAATATCATTCCCCCTATTGTCTACAGACTAAAACCAGACTTTCTACAACCAAACTTCTCTCTGGCAGTTCAGCCTCTCTCCCGCCTGCCACAGTGCACCTTGGTTGTTTTTTCAAATCATCCTGCTTCATCTTACCTCTTCTTGGGTGCTTGCTCCTTCTGCACAGATCACGTCCTCGAGAATTTGCAAGTTATAACTCCCTTGCTTTTGAATCCGGGCTGGTTGCTGTTCCTGCAGGTCCCATGCACCTTTAACAGCCATAGCACATCACTGTGGCTTACTTACCTGCTTCAGTAGCTGGTCTCCTTGTCTCTCTCCTCCAGTAGATTCCTGCCTTTGGGGGGAGGGACCGAGCATTGTTCTATCATTATAGACGTGGCACCTCCTAAAGTGCTGATCAGACACGGGAAGGCTTGCCACACCTGCGTGCTGAATGAACCAGCAGTGGTTTGAATGTACTCATTAGTAGATGAGAACATTTGATTTTCTGTTTGTCATTATCCATAAGTAGTATCTTCATGGACTCTGATTTTCC